CCCGCCCCCTGGTGGGCTGAGCTGGCCACACACACACAAATACATAAATAAAATTTTAAAAATAAATAAATTGGGCTGGTGAGATGGCTCAGTGGTCTAAAGCACCTACTTAGAACAAGCTTAGAAAGCAAGGGACCACGGTTCAATCCCCCAGCACCACATGCCAGCCAGCCCCGCCCCCTGGTGGGCTGACACACACACACACACACACACACACACACACACACACATAAATAAAAAAATTAAAAAAAAGACAACAAAAAACAAAACAAAAAAATAAAAATAAATAAATGAAATAAAGGGGCCAGGGAGATGGCTCAGTGCTTCCCCTACAGACACAAGGGCCTGAGTTCAATTCCCAGTTCTGGAAAAAAACAAAAAAACCCCAAACCAACCAACCAACCAAACAAACAAACAAAATCTCTTTTATTCCATGAACAACAACAATAAAAAGCAGCACTCTTCCTAATACCCTGAGATTCCTAGGCCTTAATGTGGGTGAGGAAGGGGGCAGAGAGGATGTGGTTCCTGCTGTTGTGAGGGCGCCAGCGGGGCAGCAGCCAGACACAGGCCACTTCCAGACGCGACACTCCTGTGTCTGGAAATGATCTGTACACACACACACACACACACACACACACAGTACTTTTCTTCACTATCATGAATCATAGGACTACATAAAAAGTAACACTTGCCAGTCATTTTCTTCTTAAGACAATCAAGAATCTAAGATTAAAGAAAAAAAGAAAAATAAGAAACCCCAGAGAACTTAAAGATCTTGAAGCCAGGGCCAGGGAGATAGCTCAATAGAATAAGCAGTTGTCTGGCAAGCGCAAGGCACTGCAAAAAAAAAAAGGGAAAAAGATCTTGAAGCCAACTAGAAAGAGGAAGTAGCGAGAAACCGCTGGGCAAAGTGGTGCACGCTCGGAACCCAGCGCTGTGGGAGGTCTAGACAAGAGGACTGCATGCGTGGGCCCAGCCTGGGTGACTTGGCGACTAAGATCTGTCTCCAAATCCAATTTTTTTTTTTTTTTTGCAGAACCAGGGATTGAACTCAGGCCCTTGTGCTTGCAAGGGAAGCGCTTATTCTACCAAGCCATCACCCCGGCCCAAAATCCAAAAATTTAAAAAAGGACTGGGGCTGTAGCTCAGTGCAGAGGTCTCGGGCTCAATCCCGTCTGCCTTACAAAAGAGAAATTAAGTGAGCAAGAGAAAGAGGCGCCCTGATGCCCCACAGCGCCCAGCTTGAGAAATTCCTTGGGGTTTGAATTCCTCTTTGCTTTAGTGAGGAATCCTTCAGCTAGAAAAAGCCTCTGAGGGCAAGCGATCCTCTTGACACAAACAACCTGGCACAAAGGAATGAGCGTTCCTGGCTGCCAATGTTGTTTTTTTTTTTTGAGACAGGGTCTCACTACGCAGTTCAGGCCGGCCTTGAACTCCTGGTGACACCCTGCCTCAGCCTTTGGAGTGCTGCCAGTCACTGTTAATTTTGTAAGTTCCATTTCAAATTCTACCGTTAGTGAATTTTCTTGAAGTTCTGCTTCAATTATCTGAAAGGGGGGAGGGGAGGCCCCAGTCTGGCTATAACAAGTTTCCTCATCTAAAGTTGAGTCCTGGGGCTGGAGAGATGGCTCAGTGGTCTAAAGCACCTACTTAAAACAAGCTCAGCAAAGCATCAGGGACCGCGGTTCAATCCCCCAGCACCACATGCCAGCCAG